GTGTGTGTGTGTGTGTGTGTGTGTGTAGCAGTCCTAGGAACTGAACTCAGGGTCTAGCATGGCAGGCAAGTGCTTTATGGCTTGAACCATGCACCCAACTCTTCTGTTTGTACTTGATTTTTGCTATAAGTACTTGCTAATTTTTCCCAGGCTGGTCTGAGATTGGAGATTTTTTTCTCTAATAGCTATGGTCACAGACATACCCCACTACTCCCAGCTTAAATTTTAAACTAAAAAAAAAAACATTGAAACACTGCCTGTGGCAACCACAGTTGATGCTAAAGCAAGAAAAAGAAAAAGAAAAAAATCATCAAGGCAGAGTGGATGAAAGAACATTTGGGATACCCAGGAAATGCATGCAGGAGTCAAAAAATTAGCCACCATACACTGACTCCTATGGATCATCAGAGACCTGTGTTACCTTGTTGTAACAACAGAAATGGGGACCCCTGTTGTGTGGTTGTGTACATGCACCCAACAGCATCAATGCACAACACAAAGAGAAACTTAGACCAGCCCATGCAGAGACCCACGTGCATGTTGGGCTGCAACTGGAGACCCAGGATCTCTGGGCAGGTGAAGTGGACATTGCTCAGCCATTTCACTTTGTGGTGTGTGTGTGTGTGTGTGTGTGTGTGTGTGTGTGTGTGTACATACACACGCATGTGCTTGCATGCACAATCCTGGGACTTAAGCTCAGGGCCTGGGCACTGTCCCTGAGCTCTTCTGCTCAAGGCTAACATTCTACCACTTGAGCCACAGCTCCACTTCTGGTTTTTTAGTATTACTTGGTAAGTCTTAATTAATAAGAGTCCCATGGACTTTCTTGCACAGGCTAGTGTTAAGCCATACACCTCAGAACTCAATCTCCTGAGCAGCTAGGACTCATGTCATAGGCATGAGTCACTGCCAGGTGCTTCTGTAGCTTTTTGCTGTATACTCATGATGAGTGCTAAATTTCCTTCATCCAAGCTGAAAGACAATCCTCCTCTCCCCCACCTCCCAAATCCCTCCATGGTTCCCCACTTAGCGATTGCTGCCTTACCTGTCCTGGATGATGAAGTATTTCACTGGGTCTGTGGCATTGCCGCTGGGGGTGGCATAGCAGTTGGTCATCAGTACTGCAAACCGGGACAGGTCTCCGCCATCCAATATGGTACCCACGTAGAGGAAGGCCTCCGTGGACAGGGCCACTGTGGGGCCTTGGTAGGGTTGCGTGTAGGAAGGGCTCTGGAAAAGCGCCATCCGCACAGTGAACATGCCGGTCCCACCCACACTGATGTTCAAGACACTGCAGGGGCGAAAGGACTGGTGAGAGGACCAAATGGAGAACATGCCAAAAGAGGGACCTTTTTCTCCTTCATGCTCCTGGACAGAGCTTGAGATTTGTGTGCCTGGGTGAGGAGTGTGTGTGTGTGTGTGTGTGTGTGTGTGTGTGTGTGTGTGTGTGTGTGTGTGTGTGTGTTTTGAGAATCAACTACACAAACACTGAGTTACATCCCCAGCCATGAAATGAACAGATTCTTAATAGAGTCACCTCAATTCCTTCTTCCTTCTCAAGGTTAATTCCTTCCTCCTTCAAAAGGTTAAAAGGGGACAAGTTGTGGACCCCGTAGACCAGCACAGTAGTCTATGTTAGAAAACTAATCCAGTCCACGTTAGAAAAGACTTTGTAACTGGATTGTTTAAAAGCATAATTAAAGCAGCTACACGGTGAGGACTGCCCTTGGCTGACCCCTCACAGGACCTCACAAGGCTGAGATCACATGAAATAAAACCCATCAGAAACCCCAGCGACTCGGACATCCACTTCAGAGGCTTCAGAGGTGAGACCCAGATCCTCAGCTCTGACAGGAGTGAGGTTTCCAGCTCAACCTGAGAGATCTGCTCACAGACTATTGCTTTTTGACCTAAGGGAGGGCCACCAGATGCCAGAGCACTGCTTGGCCAAGTAATATTCCAACCAAACACCTGCCATGAGCAACCTCTTCCTCCATGCTGACCAATCAGCAGCCAGCACACAGAGCCCCATTGGCTAAGTCTGGTGGAAGTCATGATAGAACATGGGAGCAGGGAGAGGTGTTTGAATCCCAGCACTGCCACTTCAATAGACCTTTAGTAATGTCTATTACAGTCCCTTGTTGGAGTCTATTGTATTCTGTTTGTAAACAAAATACAAACCAAGGAGTAAGTTCCTCAAGCTTCTCTGAGCCTCAGTTTCCACCTTTGTCTAAAGGGAATGGTGATCATAAATCTCCTGGGGCATAACTGTGAAGATTTTTAGTGAGATATTCCATGCAAATCACTTTGTGAAATGCCCACCACACACTCAATAAACTGCTAGTCAGGATTATGGTCTGCCATTCTGTCCAAAGCCAGCATCACTGGCCTGTGACATCCTATTCAAAGACTTTTTCTGCAGTCTTTAACAACAGTGTCCTTTATTATAAAATGTCATACAAATCTCATGTGGTACCAAGGATGGGGTGAACTTCTCCAATGCATCCCTGCAGGCAAGTACCCACCCCATCCCTGCAAACTCTATATAATCAGACCTCTTCCCATTGACAAGAGGATTTTTTTAATTCCTCATTGCATGAATTAATTTAAGGCCTCTCATCCTTCAGTCCCTCTTTCCTACCCTGCCCCTCTGAAAAGCCACTGAAACTCTCACACGTTCATTCACAGCTGCAGAACACAGCTGCCACATGCAGAAGACTGGCAGCCAGAGAAACGTTGGCCATCTCCCAAACCCATCTAACTAACGTGGGACGGAGCCTCGACCCTGAGTTCCAAGATTCCCTAGCTCAGTTTCTCCACTGAGCCATCCTAGCTCTCAGATGCCACACTTAGCTCCCTATGGGAGGCAGGTGGCAGGGAAGCTGGAGACCTCGTGGTGATGGAACTGCAAGGCAGAACTGCCTGGGAGCTCTGGAGATCCTCACTGACCGCACCTGACCATTGGCTGCAGGGAGGTTTTCAGGCTGACTTTCATGTCCAGCGGGTAGGAGCAGGCAAAGTTGATTTTGATGTTAACATCACGGATGATAATCTCATTGGCGAGGTAGAGGGTGTTGCTGTATGTGGCGTGGGTTTCGTTCCTCTGTGTTGGAGGGAGCAGAGGGAAAAAATGGAGAATAAGAATCTGTGCAGGACAATGAAACCAGAGCTGTTTGTCTCTGGCCACCTGTATGTGCACGCACATGTACACACGCACACACACACACACACACACACACACACACACACACTGACTTCCTGGCCTCCATGAGGACAAATTGTCAGCAGCAGGAGCCATCTCTGAGCAGGTGTCATGTAGCTGAGCTAAATGCTCCTCCTACCTCATTGCAGATGTCCTTTCTTCAATGACCCTAAAAGGCAAGGCTGTTACATTCTTGCTTCCTGGAGGGGACACGGGTCCCCCATAACTGAATGACTGACTGATTCTCTCTGCTGCCTGGAAGCTAAGAAACATGGGTCTTTTCTATCACCACATTCTTCCTTTTTTAAAGATTCTCGTCCACATGCTAAGTCTCCACTCAGGAGATTTCATGCTCTAGCCTTAGAAAATAATCATTGCTTCTTCTTTTTGGCAAAAGTAGACAGAGTAAGTTTATTTAAAAGAGAAAGGAAGGTAGGGAAATAGAATCTCTGTAGAAAGGGGGTCCCAAAGATCAAAATCCAACAATGTCTTCCTTTCTTTTGAATCTTTTCTTTTTATTTCCTGGCATAAGAGGTGCAGGAAGGCTGGATTCTTGAGACTTACCACTTGTCATCTTAGCTACTCAGGAGGCTGAGGTCTAAGGATGGCAATTGGAAACCAGATGGGCAGAAAAACCTCCAATTTACTACCAAAAGAAAGCCAAGCCGGGGATGGTGCTGGTAGCTCACACCTGTAATCCTAGCTACTCAGGAGGCTGAGATCAGAGGATCGCGGTTCAAAGCCAGCCTGGGCAGGAAAGTCTATGAGACTCTTCTCTCCAATAAAACCACTAGAAAACCGGAAGTGGCACTGTGGCTCAAGTGGTAGAGTGCTCACCTTGAGCTGAATAGTTCAGGGACAGTGCCCGAGCCCGGAGTTCAAGCCCCACGATCAACAACAACAAAAAAAAAGTAGAAGAGTGATAGACACCAATCTTGAGCAAAAAAGAAAAACCAAGTAAAAGCGCAAGGCCCTGAGTTCAAGCCCCAGTACCAGGACAAAAGAGAGGGCACAATGCTTCCCTTACACAAACATTTGGGGTTCCCTAAAATAAATATGGTCCCTTCTGCAGAGGCCTTTACAGGCAAACTACTGCTCCAAACATCAGTAATTCAGAAACAGGTGAAATAACTCATGCAACCCCGTACAATTTCTGTAGAACCTGGAGCTGAACCTGTGAGCGCTCTGACCCCTGCCCTCCAGCTGCCCAGACATACTGTCAGCACTGTCCCACAGGGACCATCTCGGGTCGGAGTCACCACAGACATCCAGTCCTGCTCCCGTCTCTCACTGAAGCCTGAGCAGTGGCTGTCCCGCAGGTACATGAAGACCTTCTTGAAGCCCAGGCTCTGTAGCTGGCATTTGCTCAGGGACATCTTGATGTCATTGGCCTCACAGATCAGCCTTTGATCCAAAAGTGAAACATCTGAAATAAGCAAGAAAAGGGCACAATGTGGAGCCTGTCTGAACCTCAAGAGCTCAGTATGCACCCCACAATCAGAAAACAGGGAGAATTCTCCAGACTGGCCACTAGCTGGGGGTTCTCAACTCTCAGAAGAGGGGAGCACAAGAATGGATTGTACACATTGCAGATGGATCCACTAGCCAACCTTCCAGAGCCCCCCCACAGACCCCTAAGAACCAACTCTACCCCAATTTCATGGCAGTGTTTGGATCTTTCACTAGCCCAGAATTAAATAGTATGGAATCCCAATTTTATAAAGGGAAAGGAAGCTAGGTGCTGGTGGCTCACACCTGTAATTCTAGCTACTGAGGGAGGCTGAGATCTGAGAATTGCAGTTCAAAGCCAGCCCAGGCAAGAAAGTCTATGAGGCACTTATCTCCAATTTACCACCAGAAAACTAGAATCAAGCTGTGGTTCAAAGTGATGATCGAGTGCTAGCCTTGAGCAAAAATATCTAAGGGACAGCACCCAGGCCCTGATTTCAAGCCCCATATCCAACAACAACCAAAAAAAGGAAAGTTAACTACAATTTCTTTTCATCTACTTTGGGGTGACAGACCTAATTTGTCTTTAATGTCTTTAAGGCCACACATGCTTATTCTTTCCTCTTAAACAGAGAATTTGGGGCAGATGTCAACAACTAGATTTATTTTTGTAAAAGGATTTTTTAAAGTTATTTTTTAGTACTTATTATTTTAATGTTTTTAGGACATAGCTACTAGGATTATTATAATAATCTTTCTGCTGTATTTACTGTGACCTTCTAAGATATGTGTTAGCTTGCTGCAGACAAACCCAGCAGTGAACATCAACATCTCAAATTATCCTGAAAGAAGAGATTTGGGGCTGGAGGTGTGGCTCAAGTGGCAGAGCACTTTCCTAGCAACCCAGAGGCCTTGAGTTCAAACCCTAGTATGGCCAAAATCAATCAACCAACAAGTACCAATCACAGAAGGGAATTCAATCAATTCAGAAAGCAACCAGTTAATTGTACAGTTGGAATTAGAGGAGGGGCTTGAATATAGCAACGTTGTCCAAGTGGCAGAAGATGACTGAAATCGTGACTGAAATCTAGAAAACATTATCCACCTCCAAGGAGTGTAGACAGGGGCAAACGTAGGCTCAGAGACAGCCAGTGCCCTGCCTTGCATCTACAGCGGATCAGTAACTCAGCAGATCGGGGGAAGGAGGGAGTAGTGTTCCATAGTCTGATGCTGGCATTATTCTGTGTACCCACTGCAGTGTAGGGCGGGGGGTGTTAAAGTAAGTTCTGGGCATAAAGTTGACCCCTGATCACCAGGAGTTTTGGAGTCAACTAAGGGGAGAACCAGGAACCCCCCCCACACACACACACCAGAGTTCTTCTTGACTAAAAAAGGTGCTAGTGAACCTTCCAACTGCGGGGGGGCTTTGTATTCCTGAGTGTCTTTCTCATCCTCTCATGTCTGCATTTCTCTCTCTCTCTCTCTCTCTCTCCCTCTCCCTCTCAGATTTTAAGTTTCTAGTTTGTAGTTGTTTATGATTTTAATGTTTTTAGGGCATAAAGCCTGGAAGTATGATGATCATCTTTCCATTGTACTTACTTTGACCTGAGAGAGAGAGAGAGAGAGAGAATGTGCTTTCCCTGCCACTGACCACTTTGTCAACAAACAAATCAATTCCCCTCCACTGGTCCCCTTCTGCCCCCCTCACCGGTGACATTGATGTCTTGTTTGCATTGGCACCGCCACATGCCATTGTCTGATATGCAGTCCTCGTCAATTCCGCACTCCTCACACGTCCCCTCCACCGAGGTGGGATCTGCAGAGGCAGAAGTTCAGTCACCATGGATCCGCCTTGACCCCCCCCCACCCTGCATGGTGTCCACCAGGGGGCGTGGGAAGGAGGGGGTGGCCCCCAGCTCACCTGTGCAGTACGCCAGATTGCACTCAGGGGGCGCTGTCAGGTTGTAGACGTAGTAGCCTCTGGCACAAGCCTTTACCTGGACAGTTGTGTTCCACAGGCAGCAGTGGCCGCTCCAGTGCGCGCAGGCCGTGCGGTTCACGATGCCCTCGTCGCTGGAGGGGTGCGTGCCATTGAGCCACAAGGGCGCGGCCGTGTTACAGCGCAGGACTGGCACACAGGTCTCTGCCATGCGGACGCCACCCTGGCCCACGAAACGGTACCAACCTTGCAATTTGGTATCACAGGAGTAGCCAGAGCCATACTGAGCACTGCGCCAGTACTCATCCAGCGTGTGGTACGCCTGGCACGGGTCAGCACACACGAGCTCACCACCGTGACCCTGGGGCAGGCAGTCCAGTCCTGGCCCACAGGATCCAGGGGTACACTCACAGTGCCGTCCATCCCCCACATAGCCCTGGGGACACACGCAGGAGTAGTTGCCCTCCACGTTGACGCAGGTGGCCAGGGAGTGGCAGAGGGTCCCCTGTGGCTCCAGGCACTCATCCACATCAAGGCAGCCCAACCCGGGCACCAGGTAGAAGCCATCGGGACAGACGCACTCGTAGGAGCCCAGTGTGTTCACGCAGCTGGTGTTGGCCGAGCAGTTGTACGCCTTGGGAATGGCACACTCGTCTACATCCTCACACACCAGCCCGTCGCCGGTGAAGCCCTCCTGGCAGGAGCATGTGGTGACAACCCCATCCATCATGCAGGTGGCATTGCTGTGACATTCTGAGCATCTTCCTGTAGACAGGCCAGCCCAACCCAGAACATGGGCAGTCAGGCCAATAGCTTCGCAAAATCCTATCACTTCCCTAAGGGAGGGATCTAAGACTCAGCTTTATAGTCCATTCCATCCAGCACAAGCCAACCAAGGCCCTGACTCCCCCTCCCCCCCCCCGCCGAAGGCCACGCTTCCGACATGTATTCCATGGTAAGCATTGCCTTTAAGTTTTATCTTCTTTGCTTGTTGTTTTTTTAATTCAATATTCTCCCATCCAGAAGAATAATTCTCAGATTCTTGATTCTTTGTTAGGATTTATGGTGAACCTGTGACCCCCTTCCCATCTGTGTGTGTGTGTGTGTGTGTGTGTGTGTGTGTGTTTGCCAGTCCAGGGGCTTGAACTCAGGGCACTATCCCTGAGCTGCTTTCGCTCAAGGCTAGCATTCTACCACAGTGCCACTTCCAGCTTTTTTCTGTTTATGTGGTACTCAGGAATCGAACCCAGGGCTTCATGCATGCTAGGTAAGCGCTCTACCACTAAGCCACACTCTCAGCCACCTTGGTCTATTTTGTGGTTTCTGTGTCCAAGTCCCTTCCCCTGCCTGGTTGAGCCTTCATCAATACCATGCATGGTGTCACCTGCTCTCTGAAAACTTCCCCAAGGCCACCTTTTTGTTTGCCCACACAGCTAGTTTATGCCTGTAATCCTAGCTACTCAAAGGGCTGTGATCTGAGGATTGCAGTTCAAAGCCAGCCCAGGCAGAAAAGTCTATGAGACTTGTATCTCCAATTAACTACCAAAAGCCAGAAGTAGAGCTGTGGCTTGAATGGTAGAGCAGTAACCTTGAGAAAAACAGCTCAGGGACAGCTTCTGGGCCCTGAGTTCAAGCCCCAGGACTGCCAAAAAAAAAAAAAGGCTTAAACACTTTGTAAATCCTAAGTGTAATAGAAAAAGGGTTAAGACTTTCTCTACCAAGGGCCATTGTTCCTGGCACACATATACACAAGCACTCGCATGTAAGCATCACACTTACTAGCTTCCAAAGAGGAGTCATTGGCTGCCACTACGATGAACCACGAGGTCATTGCCATTACCAACAGCATCCAGGGCAGGGAGAGCAGCAGCCGCCCCATCCTCTCTGCTCTTCTGCTCTTCTGCGAATACCTGCTCCAAGACAAGTGTGATTCCCTCCCTGTTGTGTTGGAGGCCCAAAGTCCTGAGAACAGAAACGGGGAGGGGAAGGCGCATGCTCTAACTCCCCTCCCCATGGGGAAGGATGGTTGGGGTTGCACACTGCCCATGGCAGTACAGCTGGGGTGCAAAACCCATGCAATACTGAGGCTCTGCAGGCCGCGGGCTTCTCTCTTCTAGGCAACAGTTATTCCCACCCATGACTCTCCACATCTCAGGACACAGCATATTCTGCCAAGTCTCTCCTTTGGGAACAGGAAGTAGGAAGATAGAGAAGTATCTTCCTGAAGATAGCCTTGGACACAGTAGATGGTGGAGAGTGATTGGATGCATGAGGATACTGTAGCTATTATTAGGAAAGCTTGGGATCCATGACTAGGAAGCTGGCTTGCCAAGAATCGTGAAGCCAAGAATCATCAGACCAGAGTAGTGACTCATAGGCAAACACCTAACTTCCTCTCCCACCTCCCTCTGGTAGATCGGGAGCCAGCAGAAGACTAGACAAAGGAGGAGGAATAGGGAAAAACACCCCAGGATCGCCTTTACCTGAAACCAGAGCGGAGGACTGCTTCCCTCCCAAGTACGTGCCTCTTATAAATACACGTACACGAGCCCCTGGCTGCCAGTCTCACCCCCAATTATTTCCTGTGTCTTGAGATTGTTTCCTTAGAGGGGGGCGGGCAGATATTTTCTTTTACTTTTTTTTTCTGCATAATGTTTGCCTTTTCCAAGCTGTGAATTTGTTGCTCCTTCCCCTACACCACCCCCTCTCCCTCTGCCACCACCAAGAGACACACCAAATCATTGATATTGTGGGTCACACCTGTGCCCGGAAATGCAAGGTCTCTGTTTTGCACTCTTGAGCAGCAAGAGATTCCTTAGTTAGGCATTAACTGGCAAAGTGGTGCCAAGGTGCTGGGTCTTTTTCTTCGTCACTGAGGAGGATGAGGTGGGCCCATGGGGCCAGGTAGCAGCTAGTATCTATAGGTAGGCTGCAGTCAAATAAAAAGGAGGTGCCTGTTGACCCTGGGGGAGTCATCTATCTTGGAGAGTACCCTTTGAAGCACCCTGTCCTCACCATGGGAGCACCCCCTTCTTTCTATCCCCAGACACAAGCTAGAGGGGAACTGAGCAGGGCCAGAGGCCAAGCATGCAGACATGGGGAATTCAATCTACTCAGCCAAACCCATCTGATGTTTGCTAGGCTCAAGACCCTTAGAGGGTTGAATGACTCTGTGATTGAATCATCTGGCTTGGCCGTCGGCGAATCTGAATCCTGGCCCTGACATATTGTGCCCAGTGGACTCCTCTCTTCACCTTCCTAATGCCATCTTCCTCAACTGCAAAACAAAATTGCTTCTCTCCCTGAGAGGCTGTGACCATTCAAAGAGAAGATGGGAGAAAAGACACACACTCAGGGGCAATTTTATTTGGAGGAATTTTGCAAACGCTGCTTGGTTGCTGTGCAGTCACAAAAAGGCAAGGAAATGCCAGGGGCCAAGTTCAAAGCCATGTTGGGGGAAAAAAATGTGTGTAGCCAGGTGCCGGTGGCTCATGCTTATCATCCTAGCTACTCAGGAGGCTGAGATCTGAGGATCACAGTTCAAAGCCAGCCCAGGCAGGAAAAGTCCGTGAGACTCTTATCTCCAATAAATTATTCAGAAAACCAGAAATGGCGCTGTGGCTCAAGTGGTAGAGCGCTCACCTTTAGCTGAAGAGCTGAAGGACAGTGCCCAGGCCCAGAGTTTAAGCCCTGCGACCGACCCCCCAAAAAAACAAAGTGCATGTGAATTTAGACTGAGCAGCAAAAATAACCATGAACCCAATGTCAACATTCCTCCTCATCATTTCAGAACCAAATTTCTTGGGGTGAAGGGCAGTGGGGTGGGGGAAATCTCTGTGCCGGGCATGCCTTTAGAATAGCCAGGCTAGGGCTGGGAAGGTGGCTCAGTGGTAGAGTGCTTGCCTTGCATGCATGAGGCCCTGGGTTCAATTCCTCAGCACCACATAAGCAGAAAAAGCCA